AAAGTCTAACCCACCCGTCTATACTGGAACGCGTGGTAGCTTCGCACCAGAAATAAGCAGACCTGTGGTAGCCGAGCGTGTGAGCATCTAATACACCTTTAAAACCAATAGCCTTGAAATCGAAGTCTTGAGGTGGAGACCACGAAAACAGAATTTAAGAGTTATACCTCAGTCCGCATTTAAGTGTTTTTAATACGCTTTTATTAGCTTGAGACGTATGTATGTTTGTAACGGAATCTTTGAACATGATTTTGACCCCCTTCAAAACGACGGATTAACTTGAAATTTACTCGAGAAAAAACTACTTTGTTGTTAAAAAAAAGCGTGGGGTGCATGGTACCAGTAGTTATAAATATATTCTGAACAGATATAAGTAGAAGGGTTATGTTGATAATATCCTGAAAAGCACCCCACGCTTTTTTACAATAAAATCACTTTTTCTTACACTATTTTTAATTCAAATTTATTAAAATTTATTTTCTATTTTTTAGTTAGATTTTCTGTAAAAGCGCATTTTGTTAGTTATTTTAAACTATTATTTTTACAAAAAGTCTTTAAGAATAGGGACCCTTAATGATGAATAATGGTGCTTAAGAATTAATTATCCTTATGCCTCTGATGTCAAGTCACAGGATGTAAGGGAATGGAATCTGGTTTTTTTTCGTAAGCGTCTAGGACGTCAGCACTACCAACATTGTCATTAGACGCCTGCAGCTCTAGCGTTAAGAACAAGACCCTAGTAAGCTTACTCGTCGAACTAGGTATAGAGTTCGAAGTGAAACTTAGATACATTGAAGTGAAACTTAGATATTTGAAGTCGTCGTGGCCTAACGGATAAGACGTCCGGTGCATTCGTGTTGAAGCGATGCACCGGTGTTCGAATCCCGCAGGCGGGTACCAATTTTTCTAATGAAATACGTACTCAACAAATGTTCACGATTGACTTCCACGGTGAAGGAATAACATCGTGTAATAAAAATGAAACCCGCAAAATTATAATTTGCGTAATNTCATTTATATTTTTTATAATTTTTAATTTTGTTACAAAAGTCATAAGAATAAACTGTCAGCCATGAAAGCTGCATCATAATTTTATTTTATTGTAAAATCTTTCTCCTCACAAATCCAAATTATATCAAAATAAGAAACCGTCCTCTACAATTTCCCGATTGGTATACCATGTTCTTCATTAAACAGGTCTAACAGCAACTTTGATCGCTCACCTACCGGTTGCCTGTATGCTAGTCTGTTTAAAATATCTATATATTAATAGGTGAAGCAAAAACTTTGTATACCTTTTTACGAAAATTTCGCGGACGGAGGAGTATGAAATTTTCCACACTTATAGAGAATATAGAGAAGAAGTGCACAACGCTAATATTTTTTTCAAATAATGCATAAAAGATACATTAAATCAATAAAGAAAACATTACACACACTATATACTATAGAGAATAGATTAAATATTGTTTGTCTTTATTAATATTTTTTTAGAGTGTAGCCTTGGCGAAATTTGTGATTTTATAGAAGTATAAAATACAATCATAATAGTGTACAAACTTATTATACAATTCCAATTAATTATAGTCGAATTTCGTCTACTGCGGGTCCTCTAGTATATGTAAAATGCCTACCTTCATTTTAATACGCTTTTATTAGTTTCAGACGTATGTATGTTTGTAACGGAATCTTTGAACATGATTTTGACCCCCTCCAAAACGTCGGATTAACTTGAAATTTGGTATACTTATTAAGGACCGATGACAATTCAATATTAAAAAAAAATTAAAATGAAAAATTTGAAGAAATTGAAATTCAACTAAAAAATAAATAAAAATAATAAATAAATAAATAATAGTTTAAAAAAACTAACAGAATACGTTTTGTAGAAAATCCAACTAAGAAATAGATTAATAAATTTGAATTAAAAAAAGTGTAGGATAAAATGATTTTATTGTAAAAAAAGCGCGGGGTGCATGGTATCAGTAGTTATAAATATTTTATGAACAGATATGACTAGAAGGATTATTTTGATAATATCCTGAAAAGCACCCCATGCTTTTTTTCAATGACAAAATCTTTTCTTACACTATTTTTAATTCAAATTTATTACTCAATTTTTAGATGGATTTTCTACAAAAGCGTATTTTGTTAGTTTTTTTAAACTATCATTTATTTTTGTACTTCAAATTACTGCTCTAAAAACTAGAATATAGACCTCGTGTGCGATCGCGTTCGATAAACCTTTAAAACAAATGTACAGCTTGATCCGTCTCAACAACTCGCGAACTAACAGATGAGATAAATTTTATTATAATTGTCTTTTACGATATCTCCTTAAGTGCATGACGGCATGTCCTCTCCCGGTTAGGCACGTACATAAAAAAACACTAAACTTAATTTGTGTATCGGTACTAATTGGTCTTTACAGCTCTCGTTAGATTTAATGGGTTTTTGTTGAATACTAAACTTTTCGCCTTGCTTTGCCTTGCCGGACTTTATTGAGAGAGAGAGAGAGAGAGAGAGTATTCTTTATTGTACACCAAAAAACAAAAAAACAGTGCGATACATTAAATATAAAAAAGTACAATTGGCGGTCTTATCGCTAAGAGCGATCTCTTCCAGACAACAATCAAACATACATTGTTGGAAAATCGACGAGAAAGGGCTGAACCGCGCTCGGAACGGAGACAAACTTACCGCATAGTCGATGACATGGTGGAAGCTGCTTGAATAATACATGGGCAGTTATAATTTCATTGGAAGTATGCGGAGTTTTTCGCATTCAGTAATCATAGGGCGGTTTTACATTGCTGTTACTTCGCACGCCCCCAATCTTAAGACTGAAAATATAGTTTCCCGCGCCTATTTTTGAAACGGCTACACTTCGCTTGATGTAATATATTACAACTTAGTATAACAAATAAAAAAATCATGTACAAGAATAAATAAAATTCACCTGGCTTAATTAGTTCTTTATAGATTTTGTAAGAATGGTGGGGTTAAAATCTCGAATGATTCCACATGCTATCTATGAAGGACATTTTTATTCGGATCATTGACATTACAGCATACATTTACACACACAACCTTACAGCATTACAGCAGATTACAGGGTACAGGGCTTAAACTAAAGATTTATAATTTACTAGCCGTACTCGCCCGCTTCGCTGGGCATTTAAAATTAACATTATTATTTATTGTTATTATTATTTGGGAGTCCAACACTCATATAAATATTAAGCCTATCCATTAAGTACATGTATTTTCTACATGTATACCAAGTTTCAAGTCAATTGGATGCATGGTTCAGTAGCTATAACGGAACATCCGTAAAAACCACTGTAGATTTATATGTTAGTGTAGATTCATTATTGCCCTCTGCGTGTATAGTTCACGGCCCTCCCTTTTTTTTTGGAGCCGGGGGCATTGCGCGGCTCCCGCGTCCAGAACTCACGCGGAATATGTGAGACTCGGTGGCCGAAGTCCCACCTGCTATTGAACAAGACTTGAGGTCAAAGCCTTAATTCTATTCTGTAATTCTGCTCCAGTTCAAACCGGAACGTCTCACTGCTTTGCAACAGCAATATACAGGATTGGTGCACTTGGCCGTGCCGACTCGCAATTCGACCCACTTTTGCTGGCGTAATTTTGGAGTAGTAATGTGTTTCGGTTTGAAATTTAACTGTTAAAACTGGGACTTAGAACATATGTTTCGAGGTAGGTGTCGGCATTTCCGTCGTAGGTGTCTATGGGCTCCGGTATCCACTTAACACCAGGTGGGCTGTGAGCTCGTACACCCACCTAAGCAATAAAATAAATAAAAAAGAGTATATGACGTAGATGGATGACTAGGTATCACTTCACCTCGATCATGCTTCTCTTAAAATATTTAAGACTTAAAAGTTCGCTTAGGTAAGTTAAATATTCCACTGCCCCTTGGAAAAAAAGTGCATGAGTTAAAACTTTGAAAATTTGTAACAGATTGAATTACATTTCAGTACTATCGATTTAATATCTTATACCTTTAAACGAGCAATTCTTGTATATTAATATATACTTACATAATCTGAATCTCAATAATACAAGGGCAATAAAAAAAAAAAAACTCGGAAACGGCTCCAACGATTTTCATAAAATTTAGTATACAGGGGATTTCGGGGGCGATAAATCGATCTAGCTATGATTTATTTTCAGAAAATGTTTTTTTATTCATGTTTTCAATAATCAACTCTTCCCGACATCTATTGGCGAATAATAATACTATTTTTCTTAATTGAGGGCAACTAACCGCTTTAAAGACACAACAAGATGGCGTTATCAAAAAAAAAACAAGCATCATCTTAAGTTAAATTAATTAACAAGTTAAATTAAAGTTGATATATCCCACACAGAATTGAATAAATACATAAAACCGAACACGTTTCTGGGAAATTCATATCTTAATAGAACCTAATAATAATTATCGTCAGCATCTAATCTTCGAGCAGGCTCTTCCAAGGCTTAACTATAATTTAGGGATTCGAATCATTTTAGTTTTTAATGTACCATGCATGTTGGCAGGGCACTCTTAACTGATTACTATATATCTCTTTAAAGATTGACATCTCAAATGTTTTAGTAAAAGGTTCTTGTAAAAACTTGTGATGAAAAAATTAACCACGAAATTCAGATCGTTCCAAAACAGAACAGAAGTGTCTGTACGTCCATAATAACTGAACCAATTTTAAGATAGTTCTTATTTGTGTGATTAGGAAGAAAAAAATCAAAATGTAGTGATCTACAATCTATATACATACTGTTTTACCTAACCACTAAATTTCCATGCCCCATCTCTATCTTCGGTAGTAAACCTAAATGACGTAACCGATGACGTCATCGCAATATGTCAAAATGGGGCGGAGCCAGGCCGAGCAAATCCTGAACGCCCCGCCCCCCGCCCCGCGCCCTCGCACCACTATATAAGCCTAGGAGGCTTTCAAGGAAAACCAGTCACCACTCAACCGGCATCTGGGGCTACGTCTTTTCCTGAAAAAGTTTACGACGATCAACGGTAAGTGAAATTTTTATTCAGATTTTTTTGATTTCGATTATGACTATTGTTAGCGGGTACATAGTTTGCACTGAACTTAAAAATGTGTTTGTAATATTTTATACGATAATTCGTTTTAATTTTTGACGTATCAAAAGACAGGTTTGACTTTTATAAGTAAACAATCCTATTGGAGATTCCAAAGGGCTCTTTAATTCACATAAGTTTACATGAAAAAAGAAAATTGAAGTTATGAAAAATTATGCAAATCCGATGTCGCTAAATTTTTTATTCCCAATCAAACGCGATTTGTTGAACAAGAGTTACAAAGTAGTCCCACGGTCAAGATTGAACTTGGCAATAGTTTTCCAGTTCGGCAGACGCTCGAACGTGTTCAGAGCACCGATAAAACTCACGTCACACATCGTCCTCACAGCGTATGCATTGATGAATCGATGATCTTAAATTCGATGCACAAATATTTTCTCCCCAATGATTTTTCTTTTAAACCACGCGATAATCAAATGCGGAAAGGAACAGTGATGAGATTTAATGTCGCGTCTGTTGTTATCATCAGCTGGAGTGATTTTCTTCAGACCTGATAAAGAGAGAGTGAAGAGTATTAAGTGGTAGGCAGCGGCTTGGCTCTGCCCCTGGCATTGCTGGAGTCCATGGGCAACGGTAACCACTCACCATCACGTGGGCCGTGTGCTCGTCTGCCTACAAGGGCAATAAAAAAAAAGAAAAGAAATGTGTATAAAGCATATTACGATTTAAGACTTGTTTTTCTTTTCATAACTACAATTAGCTCCAGATATATAAGTATGTGAGTACATCAGCGATATGGTTGTATGCGCTTCGTTGAGTACACCAATCATATAATTGTATTAAAAGAATTTTAGTATTTTTTATAGATTCTTTTCGATAGTGTATCAATCGCCAAGTTATGACGGCTTTTGCAGGCTTCAATAAAAACATGGTGGACCTAATGCCTATGAAATTTGAACACAACTGTGTTGTCTTATTTTAATTATCGTAAACGGAGTCATGTTCAAAAGCAGCTGCCACAGACAACCGTCTCGGAAACTCTTAGTGATCTTTCATTATTTATTAACGATATCCGGGCGGTCACATCCGGCGGCGTTTGCAGGGAAATTAATTGATCTCGTAGGCTTGGAGCGGCAAGATGTTGCCCAATGACATCTCAGCAGCTTATCCTTGACGTGATGGAGTTACTTTCTTTATTAATACGTATATGGATACAGACGCTAAGTTGGTTTGTTAAAAACTTACTTGTGACCAAAAATGGCTTTAGTATAACGTCGGTTTTCGTCACGATATTTTAGCCATGTATTCCATTTGAAAATCAGCACAGGCGTTTTTATAAATTCTATACTTTAGCATGACATCGCGAGGTGGATGGCGACACCCGTGTCGGGATGTGTATAGGCTCTGATAACTACAGCATCAGGCGAATCATGGTCTATCGACCCAGAGTTGAACAATAGCTTGCCAAACAACTGAAACGGAAATTCATATTTCGTTAAACAGTAATCTGGAGTGAAAACCGTTTTACTGGTGGTAGGACCTCTTGTGAATCCGCGCGGGTAGGTACCACCATCCTGGTTATTTCAACCGTGAAGCAGTAATGCGTTTCGGTTTGAAGGGCGGGGCAGCCGTTGTAACTATACTGAGACCTTAGAACTTATATCTCAAGGTGTGTGGCGCATTTACGTTGTAGCTGTCTATGGGCTCCATTAACCACTTAACACCAGGTGGGCTGTGAGCTCGTCCACCCATCATAAAAAAAAGACTGATCCACGGAATAAAAGACTTATCTTGCAATGTGCGTCCAAACTGTGTCTTTTTTTTTTATTGCTTCTAAGGAAGATTCAGACACACAAAATTCACAATTAACTTTTATTATTGTCGAAAGCAGACGTACAACAGCCGACTTACGTGGCATCGTATGGCACGTGGATATCACAAGTAACAGCAGTTCAGCCAAACCAGCTAACCTATCTCTGAAATATTAACTTAAAACACATTTCTATTATTTCAAATCCACGATTAATAATTCCGCAGCCCGCCCGATATTTTGTTTAAACCAAACGATATGTTAAATTCAACCGAAAAAATAAAATGTATTTTTACAGGCGTTTTCAAAAAAAAACAATTTTACAATAATAAAAAACGTTTTTTCCCTTTGCTATTTTCATTCGGAAAAATTAATGTAAACGTACAAAAGGGAATATTTACGACTTCGATTCTAATATTATTTTTCTATTCTATTTTATTTTATTTGGAAGACAAACAGTGAACTAAAACTATAATATAAAAACTAACCTTACAACTAAACACTATTTAAATGTCTCCGCATTTAAAAACTAAACGATTATATACACTACAATATTGTATACACTATTGTATACATAATAATATATTAGACAAATGTTAATACGAAAATTAAAACAAAACTCACAGTTGAACGTATTACGTGCTACGAAGAAGCTACGGCGTAGCGGCTGCTACGAGATTTTATAATTTTATGAATGAACTAGCCGTACTCGCCCGCTTTGCTGGGCATTTAAAATTAACATTATTATTTATTGTCATTATTATTAGGGAGTCCAACGCTCATATAAATATTAGCCTATCTATTAAGTACATGTATTTTCTACATGGATACAAAGTTTCAAGTCAATCGGATGCACGGTCCAATATTTATAACGAACGGATCATCCGTAAAAACCACTGTAGATTTATATATTAGTCGCAGTAGATTGAAGATGATGTTTAATTTAAAAATTTAGTTCTAAATTATTGTGCAAAGTTTTGTGAACCCTTCTGTATCTATCTGATCTTTCCCGGCAGGTCCGAGGTAGTCCGTCATTTCGTGAAAATGCTCAGAGAACACACTGCAGATTTATTAGTCGGTTTTTCACACGCGGAAAACCTCGCAACCATTCACAGTAACCTAATTATGTACCAATCCATCGTGCTTGTTTCTTTTTGATTAAAATTAACCCCTCTCTACAAAGATACGTATCAAATTGATCTTTTCTCTGCGTCAGAGAACAGTCTGACCTTATTCTTTCTTGTTTATTCTGAACTGGCTTACGAGTGGGTAGTACCAAGTGTCGTCCGTGACATTAACACGGATAAAATTCTGACAGATTATCAGATGTGCACACGTGAACAAAATGGAAGCCGAGCGAACTTTAAGTTAACTGAACGATTGTTAATTTTTTTGACGTGACAACGTCTTATAATTCGATGGAGCCGGCTGCACGCACGAAAAAACATGACTTATTGAGGCGTTCCATTTAAGGCTTAAAGTGCAAGCGAGAGCGCGCAACGAGCGACAAAGAGGCACAATCGGCCTCCGCGTTCGGCAGCGTTCGACATCTGTCTCTCTCCTACTTGAGTGACCGATGCATCCGCGTGGACAGCTGCTATACAATAATACATTTTCATGTTTTCGTCAAGTATTAAGTTCAGTGAAAAGTGAATGTGGTGTCAATTGTCCATACAAAATATCTATCAAACAAATAAAATTAAAATTTTCTTTTGAAAAACTAAACCATTCCATCAGGATTTTCTTGTGACGTTGTCACGTTCAACTATCGTCAGTAAACCGACTTTACAAACGATTTTTTTTAAACCATTTATCAATACTGTAAGATTGTATTCAAACTGAAGACAAATATTCATACATACAGCTGTAGCGATGCATACCACATACTTACCTGTCTTATAACAATTCACTCGAGAGATTTTCCTTAATTTTTTTATATACCTACCTTTATAAATCTAGTCTGTATGACAATCACTGGTGGTAGGACCTCTTGTGAGTCCGCACGGGTAGGTATCACCGCCCCACTTATTTCTGCCGTGAAGCAGTAATGCGTTTCGGTTTGAAGGGTGGGGCAGCCGTTGTGACTATACTGAGACCTTACAACTATATCTCAAGGTGTGTGTGGCGCATTTACGTTGTAGATGTCTATGGGCTCCAGTAACCACTTAACACCAGGCGGGCTGTGAGCTCGTCCACACATCTAAGCAATAAAAAAAAAATAAAAAAATGTTTTTTTTATTATCACAATAGGATACTATCCGTTACCGTCAATAGGACCGCATGCTCGTTTTCAATTGTAATAAAACAGGCGATCCTAGGGGCTACGTTTTCGAACTTCAAAATTGTCATTCGTAGGATATTAAGAAAGTTGAAATCGAAAATCATTGACACGAACCAAGATTCCTAACGAACATTCATTGTTATCGGTAAATTAATTTCGGTATACAGCGATGCCGATGACCTTTTAAATATGTCTAACAATTATTCGACTTACTGTGTGTATGAAAGTTTAAAACAAACAATGTTCCTTCAAGGCAATGTGCTACTATCGGTAATGTGCGTAAACAAAAGTATAGTTCAGTCCAATCTACGATATGCAATATCAATTTCGTCGCATAAAACCGAAGTCATCCGCGATCACAATAACTGTAACTATCCAACACATTTAAAAATCTTATACTTAAAATAGTGTTTGTCCAATAACAGAATTTTGACCACATACACTGACTCTGAAACTCAAAATTCAAATGTATCCGATCCTATTTATTTTAATGGCTACGATGAATTGAATTGAAAATTAATTGTATTTTTTTGACTTGTTTTTTCGTTTATTGTAAATATTTTTACTTATTTAAAAAATAAAAAATATTTGAGAGAAAAAAAAGCCCGCTTTGTTTGTTTCGCCGGTCCCTCTCAGGACTGTGGCTCTTTTTGGAACCGGTGGTAGAGTTAATATTGTTATTTATATTTTGACATTCAACAAGTGTGTTATGCTTACATCTAAGTTGAAATAAATGATTTTGAATTTGAATTTGAATGGAAAATGGAAGAGAGACCGCCCCAGAACAACTTGGCGTCGCTCGGTGGAGCAGGAGCTTGTTATCTTGGACGTGGGAGGAGCTAGAACAAACTGCCCAAAACCGATGCAAATGGAAAAATTTGA